AACTTTTTCAATACATGGGATGAGCCAGCAGTAATAGAGGAAACAGATTTGTTCTCGGGTTCATTCCGTACAAGCGGCCCCAGGTTTTTTTCCATTTTGTGTTTATTTATTTGCAAAAATCCTTGAAATAGTAAAATTTGTACGAAATTATTTGCTTCATGCATGCAACATTTTCAGATTTGAGGAGCTCCAAGGAGGATGCAAGGAAGCTAAACCACGTTGCAAAAGTCTTTCAGCTAGGCTTCTAAAAAAAAGAGGAACTGCTTATAGTGAAGCTTCAGTATCAACAGCCAAACATTTACTAACTAGGTGGCCAGGGGCAAGAAGAATCGTCGACAGTGAGGCGCCAGCGCGAATCGCTGCGGAATCCCTGGAAAATCAGCCAGTCCGACCGCCAAGGGTAAAAAGAATTTCGACTGCTAGAGCCCCAGTGGAAGAATATGCTAGAACACCAGTGGAAGAAAGAAGTCGAGGCGACAGTCTTATGCACCAATTTGGAAAACACTTCTCGGCTCTTCTTTGCTTCCGCCCAGTACGCCGTTCTGAAACTACTTATTGGCTCTTTTTTATGTGAATTTATTTCTCTAATTTTTGATTTTTAGCGGCGTTGTAACAAAGATAAGCGAGAGCAGCTGCCAGCGGATGAGCCCAGTATGTACGGTGAGTCAGTAGAAAAGCTGGAACAACGGAAAACACGAATGCGAAACGACAACAGAGATTATCGCCTGGCTGATCAGGGCTCAACAAATTCTCTTAAAATGGTAAGAAATTGTCACAGCCAAGCGTTAAAGTAACTAGTTGCGCAAAAAGTAAATGAAATAACTGGCTTGAAAAATCTTCAGTGCTTTGGTAAACGGATTTTTCGCCAACGCGTTACTAGTAACTGCTGTTGCAGCTGGCGATCTTCCTCGGCTTCCCTCATTAAAATAATTCCATAGAGTCGTTCAAGCATATTCTGCTGCCTCACTGATGGGCTTCCCTATGTTCTTTTGAAATTCTTGGGAATTATCAAAAATTCGCGTTATCTTTCTGTTCTTGGTACTTTATCTTCATGGATTATGACGCGTTTTACAGCTAAGAACTGCCGTGTTTCAGGCGCAGGTGCCGAGCTGGGATTTTATCAATTCGAGTTTTGTAGAAAACAGCGGTAGAGCAAAATCAAGTAAAAAACGAAGCAGCCTTGAAAAGTTCATTGGGCCAATTTACGAAAATCTGAGAATTCGGTAATGATTTTTTCGTTTTATCAAAACTTGAGACAGTTTCGCCACTGCCATGCAGAAAGTAACGAACAAAACAGTCTCTGTTTAATTCACTTCAGTGATAATTTGGTGCGGGCACACACAACGGACCTACCACGTAAACTCAAAAACGTGCTATTAGGACCTTGCTAACGGATGGTCGTTGAAAATTGCCATTCAGACTATTTCGCAACTGCTTTTGCCTCTTACAGGCTCCTGCATTTGCTTCCTATAAAAGGTAAAAGTTGTAGCATAAGGTTTTGTAGCATAAGACATTTTTAGAAACAGTTCACATAACTTGAGGGTCAAAAATTTGATTCATCAAAAGAATTTTCAGGGAAAGACCGAGAACACGCGGTAACGAAGTTAGTGGGTTATCGTTTGTGCAGCTACAGTTTGATCAACCTGAACATACCGCGGCAAAGAAGCAGACAACGGAGAGCGATTTCCTAAATACGCCTAAGTATAAGGTTATCTTGATGGATCGAATAGGACTATCACTCAAGTGAAATCTAGGGCTTGTAGCCATTTCAGAAAAATTTAAGGACATTCGTGCATGTGTGATACAAAATTGCGCTCGCAAATGAGGAAAAGGCTAATTCGATTGTTTTTAGCTTGAGAGCAGCAACTCCGTATTTCACAGAAGTTGATGGTTAAAGAGCATTTGCAGAATAAAAAAGCTCCGAAGACTATTTCGTCAGCTAATGAATTGCCACCACTTTACGAAAATCTGAAAATTGCCGAAAATGCCTTCAAAGTTGCTGACAGCGACCAGAGCGATTCAAGAGCCATCGCAGCGTCCGACTCTCAGGTACCATTTGTAACTCAATTTACACTTCTTTTTCAACTCGTATCACTAGAGTACAAAGACTACTTGAGCAATCAGTGTAT